CCTGGCACAGCCCGACGAACCGCGCGCAGGCGGCCCGAGCCGCGCGCGGGCCTGGCGCAGCCCGTACGGGCCGCGCGCGGGCCTGGCGCAGCCCGTACGGGCCGCGCGCGGGCCTGGCGCAGCCCGTACGGGCCGCGCGCGGGCCGGGCGCAGCCCGTACGGGCCGCGCTCGGGGCTGGCGCAGCCCGCGCTGGCCAGGACGGGCGACGGGGGACGACGGGCTGGTCCCCGTCGCCCGTCGAAGCGCCCCCCCGGGGCGACGCGCGGACCGACGGGGCAGAAGGCCGCCGCGCGCCTCGGGGCGCACGGCGGGCAGAGAACCGCCGCACGCCCCGGGGCGCACGGCGGGCAGAAAACCGCCGCGCGACTCGGGGCGCACGGCGGGCAGAAAACCGCCGCACGCTCCGAGCGCGCGGCGGGAAGAGAAATCCGTCGCACGCCACGGGGCGTGCAACACACAGAGTAGCAGCGGAAGCAGCAGTAGGGCCCACAGGCCAGGAGCGTGAGTCCTCTGATACCATGTTAAGATAGTGTGTAGAGTTAGGAGCCATAGCTAGGTAAGCCCTAGCTAGGCAAGAGAGAATAAGCAAAGGAGGGTGTTCACTAGAAAGCAGCAGGATACATATAGGAAACCCTAGGGGGTTGTACTCGCTATAGAGTACCCCACTGCAGGCTAGAGAACAATAACATTCTGACAACTGGAACTTATTCAACATACCATATTGATCAGCAAAGTTGTGTCCTTGTAGGCCCTTAGTAACACTCATAAAACTCCTACTTAGTGTTCTGAGCCTACTCGTACCACTGTTGCTTGTCACGTTTTGATTTTGCGGAGCGGATTTCTTGTCCATGTGCATCGCTGAGGGTGGCATTCCCAGCCATTCTTATTGGTTGCTCGAATCCAGCGCAGACCATGACGAGGCAGGGCGATTTCTGCTTCCCTTAATGTGCTGGATGTAATCGGCCATTCCCATTGGTCGCCTTACCAGAGTTTTCGCCAGCGCTGAAGCTCGACGGTGAGGAAAAATTACATGGAAAGATTCGGCTGGGAGTGCTGTACACATGGCCCGTAAAAGGTAGCCCATGCAGCGCTGTACGAATTGTGGGGTGAGATAATTTCGCTAAGTTATAGGAATTTCGACACGTGCAGTCGAAGCTACTGAAGCTTGTAAGCTAAGAGAAACAAAAAGAGAGGAAACGGTAGACCGCGAGTTGCGTGATTTTCATGGGAGGATAGGACCAAATTGCCAGAGTAGCCAATGACATTGAGCCAGCTAAAGTAGGTCAACTTCACACCAACCAGTTGGTTAACCAATCGCATGCTTGCAGCCTACACTTCCTTATCACCATCGCTTTCTGAACCTAGTACTTCACCCTCCACTTTCGTATTGCTCTTTCATTCTGGTTCTGCTCGTCAGTCCTTGCACACCCTCCCTGTCGAGCCAGTTTCCTCACCTACGCAGGTATTTCATTCTGTGTCTGCTCGCCGCTGCAGCAGCACCTCCCCTCTGGAGCGAGTTTCGTGGCTCTTTACTTACCGATTCTTCTAGCCGCGCAAGCAACACCTGACTTTTGTCGAGCGAGTTTTTTTTCCAGCTCGTATTTCGCGTTTTCTTTTAGTCCGTTAATGACAATGCCTGCGACGGTCGGACACTAAAGCGTTCTGTGTCACCAGGTGAGCGATCGTGGTTTGTGTTGCCTTCGCTGTTCCGTAAGGTTAAAGCTGCTGTAGTTCATGGGGTCAGTGTCCTTGTTTTCGGATGCTGTCTGTTTATTTTTCTCGTTCACCCCACAGCTACCTTCTCCGCTATCTTATCTCGTAGTTTCACCGTAACTTTTGTGCAGCGCGTTAGTCGGATATTTCTCGTCGGGTTGTTGCCTATGAAGATGGATTTAACTGTCCTGTCTTCGGGTTCATTCTTGCTCATTCTTTTATCCGTATGTTCGTCCGTGGTAAGATACCCTAACCCGTCACTGACAATACCTCGTTTTTGTCATCTCTGAAGTATCTCATTTGACGTTCTAACTCGTGATTTGTTTTCGTTAGTGTTTTTATTGTGGTTGCTGTGATATTGCGTTGACGATTCTGCCTTCAAAGTAGTTGGGAAGTTGTTCTCGGTAGGATCTTCTTACATCGATGCTAGTTCGAGTCTAAAGTTTGCATTATTAATCACTAATATATTATATTCTTCCTATCATCCGAATGGAATTTGCAGAACTTACCGTAATAGAGGGTATTTTTAACCGATTAATGAAAGCACTGTTTTTGAAATTGCTGTCCAATCGAATATCATGATTATATTGGCATTTGAGGTAACCCTAATCTGGTTACCAGGATACCGTACATATTATAAACAATAATATTACCGTGTTACCATTCGATGGACCGGTAACCAGATTTTATCTGAACTCTGTAACAAGTCATGTTACCGGGTTACTAGCACAATTCAGGAATGTAAATCATAAGTGAAGAAGTTTCCGAATATACGAGAGGTAACTGAATTTGTTACGTGTAACACCCTGGTAACAAACACTTCCTTCATTTTTCGCCTCGGCTGTTGACACGATGGTAAAGCGAGATCAACCACGGTTGATGCGTGCGATGTCACAGTAAATTAGGGTAGGTGGAAATTGAAGACTCGATACTACCCGGTCGTAAGTGGGGGTATTGGGCAACTCATCGAAAAGTATCACAATACACACTAGGTCACTGTAGCAGAATTTCCACGCGTAAACGGTGATCTTGACCCCCCTCTGTTTTCGATGTACATTGGGCAATACCCTAGGTCGTTTATTGGGGTGGGAAGAAACCACAGTTCGCACGTCATACATCCCACGCAGTTCGGCGTTTACCACCCAATGTTGCGTTCACATTCTTCTGATGGTGCAAAGCAGCGGGCTACAGCGGGGGGCGGCGCTTCGTTTCTACTTCCCTCGGCGAAGAGGCCGCCCTTCGCCATGGATGGCAAGAGGTAGCAAATAGTAGCTAAAATAGATGACTTCGGCAGACCGGGGCCACCAGTGTTGGGTCACCACTCCGAAACCAACGTCGGGAACAAGGGGATAAGTTGCAATGACTTTGGAGAGGCGTGGTTTTTCAACCGATTTCCGTTTTCGCGACAAATAAGCGTACATTTGTACCAGGCGCCGAGTTGGGCCCAACTACTTAGTAGCCCGGTTGTAATAACATCTGTCCCCGGCAGATATACTGGGCCTGTATAATTGGGAAATGTCACGACCGATTCGAGCGAGATAACATAGACTGAGGACGCGTCACCTCTTTCTTCAGGAGGGCGATCGATCGTGCACACGATCGGTGTGTCGGGTGTACAGTACTTTCGCGAGTTGGCGAAATGTGCTGTTTCCAGGTTTCGGAAACTTTCGAGCATGTACAGTAAATTGGTCATCCAGAAGGTGTCACCTAGGGCTCACGCGATCGATGTGCCAAAAGCCGACTATGAGAATGCTGGTCGCGGCTCGCGAGATGAGTCTGTCGGGGCAGGTGCACTGTACATTTGGAACAAATCAGTTACTTTCAAATCAGATAATGATATTTTTGTTAACGGGAGTGGAGTGTTGGCCCCGCCCTCGCTTGGGCAACGCCGACGACTTGGTCGGATGTACGGGAGAAGCAGCCGACCGTTCGCAGTGAAGGAGCTGCTCGACGGGCTGCGTCGAGCTGCAGGGGATCAATGTGGTGTTGCTGTCGACCAGGAGTGCTCGACGGCCTTCTTCTGCGGGGCAGGTCGACGAGGTGGCTGTCGACCTGCACATGTCTGTCACGGGGCTGGAGCCGTCGACCAGGAAGCTCGACAGCTGCACCGGACTGGGCTGGGCAACAGGTGGGCCGTCGACCAGGAGGAGCAGTTCGACTGGGAGGTCGACGGAGTAGTCCGTCGACCTGACATGTGAGCAGCGGTCGACGAGGGGAGCTCGGTGGCAAGCTGACAGTTCTGGTCGACGGAGGGGTCCGTCAACCAGGGGGTAGCTCGACGGGAGCTGTGGTCGACCAGAGGCACCTGGCGGTCGACCAGAGGCACCTGGTGGTCGACCAGAGGCACTGGTGGTCGACCAGAGCACCTGGTGGTCGACCAGGTCGACCAGGTAGCCTGCTCGGCGAGTTCTGTGGAGGCACGCGAACGTCGTCGAGGTCGCGATGGCGAAGGCGACTTCGGGCTCGTATCCCGAAGTCGATGTGGCTCGTCAGGCGTAGACAACAGCCGACGGATGCACAACGATGCAAGTCGGGCCAATCGTCTGCGCGCACCTGCGAGCGTGGGCACTGCTGTGCTCTACGGGTGCAACGTTGGACAGCCGCTCTGCTGCAGCGTTGGCACGCCGTCGACCTGCTGCGTTGGCAGGTCGCTCTTCTGCAGTGCTGGCATGGCTCCTCTACGCAGCGTTGGCAGGCAGTCGACCATGCTGTGCTGGCGGTCGACCAGGCTAGCTGCAGAGTTGCTAAGTTCCTGATGTAGTCATTCCTGTCATTGCTTGTTGAATAATTTGTCAAAGTACTAGCGTAAGGTTTAGGGCCTAGGCTTAGTAGCCTAGGCCAACGTATGTCGAGAGAGTTCGTGCCAAGAGAAGCGAGAATGGTTTTGGCTTCACTATAGGTTGAGGGAACATATAGCAAAGAACAAACGGGTGCACCACCAAGCAAACAATAAGATAACTACACTACGGTAACTACAGCAAGCAGAATATATTAAATATAATTTTAACACACCCCCTTAGCCTGCTTGCAGTAATAACTAGTGCAGTCAACACCCCCTGAAGGGGTACACCTGGCGCAGTGGATGACGGCAGAGAGTTAAATGAGGAGGAGGAGGCGAGAGGGAGAGAGGAGAGGAGAGGGGAGAAGTACCAAGGAGGAGGTGAGAGACGGATGAGGCGAGGAGTTGAGGGGGGGCCACCCGTGGCGAAACCCTCGTAGTAACCCCCTTTTACAAAGGGGGGAGGTGAGAGAGTGACGAGGAGAGGAGGTGGGGGGGGAGCCAAGCATGGCGAAACCCCTCTTAGTAACCCCCAAATCCCCACACACATTCAACCACCCCCTCTTAACCTTCCCCCCCATAACAGCCGCCTCCTTGGACCGCACTCCCCCCCCCCCTTTCTTCCTCCACACCCCTGCCCCACCCACGGTAGTCCCTGCAGCGGGGTCTCTGCTGGCGGTGTAGCTGCTGGCGGGGTCTCTGCTGGCGGTGTAGCTGCTGGCGGGGTCTCTGCTGGCGGGGTCTCTGCTGGCGGGGGTCTCTGCTGGCGGGGTCTCTGCTGGCGGGGTCTCTGCTGGCGGGGTCTCTGCTGGCGGGGTCTCTGCTGGCGGGGTCTCTGCTGGCGGGGTCTCTGCTGGCGGGGTCTCTGCTGGCGGGGTCTCTGCTGGCGGGGGTCTCTGCTGGCGGGGTCTCTGCTGGCGGGGTCTCTGCTGGCGGGGTCTCTGTTGGCGGGGTCTCTGCTGGGGGGGGTCTCTGCTGGCGGGGGTCTCTGCTGGCGGGGTCTCTGCTGGCGGGGTCTCTGCTGGCGGGGGTCTCTGCTGGCGGGGGTCTCTGCTGGCGGGGTCTCTGCTGGCGGGGGTCTCTGCTGGCGGGGTCTTTGCTGGCGGGGTCTCCGCTGGCGGGGGTCTCTGCTGGCGGTGTCGCTGCTGGCGGCTGGCGCTGGTGCTGGTGCCTGGTGTCGGTGCTGGTGCTGATGCTGGCGGACGTCCCGCCGTCACCCCTTTCCCCCTTTTCGCCTCCCCCCCACAGCGCTCCGCCGCCACTCCCTTCCCCTCCTCCCTCTCCCCCCCAAAGCGACCGCCGCTGCACCTGCGAACAGTCGCGACAATGGGGGGGGGGGGGAGCGGGCGAGCGGGCGGGTTGCGCGGATGGGTTGGGCGGACTGGGTGCGCAGGCTCCAGTGAAGGCGGCCGCTGGTGGCGTGTCCAGCTGGCGCGTCGGTTGGCGTCGGTGCAGGTGCAGGCGCTGGCGCGACGGCCGCCACCCCTTTCCCCCTTTCCACCCCCCCACAGCGACTGCAGGCTGCAGTTGCTGCTAGCGCGGGGATCTGACGGCGGGTAGTGGGCTGGCTAGCGCGTCGGTTGGCGAGGTGGCTGGTGGTCCGCCGCCATGCCCTTCCCCCTTCCCCCTCTCCCCCCATATTGCGACCGTCGCTGCACACGCTTACAGCCGCGACGTTGGGTGACGAGCAGGGGCCGTGGGGCCTTCGATCGAGCGGGACGCAGACGGCGGGGTCTCTACTGGCGGTGGTTTGCGTACAGACGGCATGGTGTGCGCGGAACGCAGGGCGAAGGGCGAACGGGCGGCGGGCGACGATGCAGGTGACGGGCGACCACGCGACTAGACGGGCGACGCGCAGCAGAAGCGGATAGATCGCGGGCGGCGGGCTGCAGAAGCGGGTATCGCGCGGGCGATGGGCTGAAGGCAGGGAAGCCCTCACGAGGCGCACTACGGGCTGCACAACGTGGCGCGCCATGGCGAGAGGCTAGCGGTGGGCCCATAAAAATCGGTCCTTAGGAAGGAACCGCTCTATACCATGTCAAAGTACTAGCGTAAGGTTTAGGGCCTAGGCTTAGTAGCCTAGGCCAACGTATGTCGAGAGAGTTCGTGCCAAGAGAAGCGAGAATGGTTTTGGCTTCACTATAGGTTGAGGGAACATATAGCAAAGAACAAACGGGTGCACCACCAAGCAAACAATCAGATAACTACACTACAGTAACTACAGCAAGCAGGATATATTAAATATAACTTTAACATCATTATGTAATTTTGACTTTGCTAGTGGAAACTCTTGCCGATTTCTCCCGTGAACGTGCAAGCACTAAGGAACTAAGCAAAGCTACGATCACTCCTACTAGTTCATCCAACCCCCGTAATCTAGCTCACTACCGTTGTAGAGTGATACTCCGCATGGTGCGGTGAGCGTGGATCGAACACGCGACCTTCAGATAAGAGCCGACTTTTGCACATACTAAGTCGTTCGTAGGCCGGCAGCAGCGTTAGTCACCTTGGTCGACCCCGTAGCTAATACAGGCGTAGCGGACACCTTGGAGGCACGTTTGGCTGATGCGAGGAAACACCATGAGGATGGCGAGTACGGGTCGATCCCCTGGGCGATCGCTGAGTTGGGCATCCGGGCGCAGTGGGCGACGGAGCACCCTTCCTGTCCTGCTTCTCCTCGACCGGTGCGAAACGAAGGTGGCGTCGACGACGAGGTCGACGGCGGTGCACGAGTCAGCGGCAACGATGGCACGAAGCAGAGAGGGGTGATCAAGGTCGACGGTGGCGTCGACAGGAGTCAGGCGCGAGTGCAGAAGCCGACGACGGCTGCAGGCAGCTCGCGTGCCGACGTCGATGGTCGACGTCGCTCTCCCCTACGAAGCGGTGGCAGGTTCTCGGCGATGACGCACGTGACGGCAGGTGGGATCGCACCGGCGTATGGCTACTTCAAGTTTTCGTCGGACCGGATCACGTTCACACCTCTGCAAGGTCAACGTGACCTCATCACCTAGAGGGAGTCGATAGAACCTCAGCTTGAGGTCGCCGGGTTTAGGGTTTCGCTGACGGCACCGTGCCAATTCCGCCCGAGGACGATGTCGAGCTGCACGGGGAGTTTCGTGCTGCTCACTTGCTCACCTTCATGGTCATCTTGAGGTGCTGCTCGCCAGTGGTGCAGCTAGCGCTCAGGTCCTGTCGAGAGCGACTGGACGCCGGTCATCAAGCATGGCACTTCATCCTGTCGACGTACCAGGTGAAGGACGACCTGTACATCGAACAACTGGAGGAGAAGATGCCACACATTCGGATGGGCGAGCAGGAGTCGGCGACGGACTACTGCAACCGTGCTCGACGGATCGTGGCTGAGATGCGGATGGCGGGCGCCGAATACTCTACGGCGTCCTACATCACCCACGTCCTCAAGGGCCTACCGCGCAGCTACAACCTCATGAAGAGGATGACGATGGTGCCCGGCACACGTGAGTCCCTCGACGAGGACTCCCTCACCAGCTACATCCTCCAAGATGAGGCGATGCAGGAGGCAGAACAGCCCACGGAGCTCCTTCTGCAGGCAAGTTACGCTGCACCGACGAAGCATAATCGTCAGCAGGAGCAGCGCGGGAAGCCGGGCGGAGGTGGTAGCGGAGGTGGGCGGTCGATGAAGGACGTCGACGAGAAGAGGTCGACGCGGGACAAGGGCCGAGGAGGTGGTGGTCGACGGCGGGAGTGCTGGATCTGCCACGACCCCAACCATCTTTCCCACGAATGCCCCGAACGCGATGACAGCGACGAGGACGACAACAAGGGAGGCCGCGGTCAATCGACCAGTCGTAGCACCCGTCGAGATGCAAAGCCGCGCAAGGAGAAGCAGACGTCGAAGACGACGTCGTCGACGAAGGACGTCGACAACTCCAGCGGCAAGGGCCGAGGAGACGGGGAGGCGTCGTGCTCGATGGTCGGTGTAGTGGAGCCGACGGTCTCGCTGGCGCCGGAGGCTGGCGAGGACTTCCAGGCGGTGGCGGCAGCTGTGCAGGCAAACCCGATGGCGGTGCTGCTCGACAGCGGTTGCTCCCACCACCCGATGGGGACGAAGGGGGTCTTAGAGATGCTGCTTGTCGCCGCGACCGGGGAGGTGCTCGGTCGAGCACGCTACACCGGACGAGTCCTCTGCACCGACCTTCGCCCCTGCTCGACGCGGTCGCCGTCGACCGAGGTGGTGGCTCTGCGGACGATCGTCTCGGCGACGAAGTCGACCCTCGACCGGTTGCATGCGAGGCTCGCGCACGTCGGCGTCGACGCGATCAAGAGCTAGGCGAAGCATGAAGTTGCTACTGGGCTCGACATCAAGCCGTCGACCGGAGCAGACCCGCCGTGTGTCTTGTGCGTCGGAGGAAAACTGGCGCGGCACACCTTCCCCGACAAAGGCTCGGACGCCGAGGAGGCGCTGGCTGTCGTGCACATCGACTTGTGCGGGCCATTTCGGGTAGCTGCCAAGGATGGCAGCTTGTACTTCATGTTGCTGAAGGATCGCCACACTCGGTTCGTGTGGGTGATGCCAGTCGCTAAGAAGAACGACGTGCTGCGGGAGTTCCAGAAGTGGCTGGTGCTGGTGGAACGGCAGGCGAAGAAGTCGGTGCTGATGCTCCGCTCAGACTGGGGAGGGGAGTTTCTCGGGAAGGAGTTCACTGACTTCGTCGACGGTAAGGGCATCGTCCACGACCTGACGTGCCCTTACACTCCGTAGCAGAACGGCATGGCTGAGCGGGAGATGCGCACGGCCGTAGAGTCCGTGCGGACGATGCTGCTGCACATGGGCGTGCAGCACCACTGGTTGCACCTCGCTCTACGCCAAGCTGTCTGGGTGCGCAACTTCTTGAAGCGGTCGACGATGCCGCCAGGGACGACTCCGCACCAGCTGCTGACCGGGAAGAAGCCCGACCTCACGCTGGCTCGGGTGTGGGGCTGCATGGTGCAGTTCATGGTCCCCGAGCAGCTGCGTAGTGGGAAGCTGGCGCCGAAGGCTCGTTGGGGGCTTCACCTGGGTGTGTCGCCGGAGAGCAAGGGCTGGGAGGTGCTCGACCTAACCGACAACAAGGTGGTCACGTCGGTCGAGGTGATCTTCTACGAGACGCTGTCGCTGGAGGTGTGGAAGGCGAAGTATGGGCCGGCGTCGGGGCGGACGTAGGCACACCCGCCGACGGACACCTCGACGGCGACGGTTCCACTGCTCGCCGAAGTCGACGAGCCTGCTGATGAGAATGTTGTGGAGATTCTTCCACCTCCCCCTGTTCTTGCTCCTCCCTCCCCCGTCGCGGATCGGCCTGCGTCGACACCTGTGTCGGCCACCGGTGATGAGGGGAGCCTTGAGGCGTCGCCTGTGGCGCCGCCCAGTGGCAACGCCGTCGGTCGACAAGGCGCCAGCAGGACCGGAAGCCGTCGACGACAGGGGAGCAGCAGACAGGGGAGCCGGTCGAAGAGGAGGCAGCAGCAGGGGTGCAGTCGAAGGGGCGGTCGACAGGGGAGGTGTCGAAGTCAGCAGGAGGTGAGCAGCCGTTCGAAGGGTCGAAGCAGCTGGTCGACGACGTGGATGTCGACGAGGAAGGGGAGCTGTCGGCAGGAGAAGAGTCCACCGACAGTGATGTGGTGGAGTTTCAGATCCAGAAGCCTGAGCTGCGACACACAGGTCGAACTCGGAAGCCGCCGGAGCGGCTGGTCTTCCATGCCTGCCTACCACCAGCTGCTTTCACCACGGTGTACGACATCGCCTACGATGACCTACTGTACGACGACGCTGACGATGACGTCGACCCGCCGGAGCTCGACCCTGACGTACATGCTGACCCCGAACACCGCTGGGACATCGCCACGATGACGGTGAAGGAGGCGCTGGCGAGATGGAAGGGCGAAGTGGTGAAGGCCGCCATGGACGAGGAGATCCGCAGCCTCATCGGCATAGGCACTTGGGAGCTGGTCGAACGCCCACGCGGGGTGAACATCATGAAGAACCGGTGGGTGTTGACGACCAAGTACCGCATCGACGACACCGTCGAGCACGAGAAGGCGAGGCTGGTCGTGAAGGGCTTCACGCAGGTGCACGGCGCCGACTACGACGAGACGTACTCGCCGGTGAGCAGCTACGTCACCCTGAGGATTTTCCTCAGCATCGTCGCCGTCCTCAACCTCAACCTGATGCAGCTCGACATGAAGAACGCCTTCTTGCGGAGCAAGCTCGACCGGGTGCTGTACATGTACCAACCGGACTACTTCGACGATGGGACCGGCCGGGTGTGCAAGCTGTTGAAGAGCCTCTACGGGCTGAAGCAGTCGCCGCTGCTGTGGTACAAGGCACTCGACGGTGTGCTGCTGGGCGCTGGCTGGAAGAAGGGCCAGGTCGTCGAGGCGCTCTACTTCAAGGCCGGCGACGACGGAGTGACCTGCTGGGTGCTGGTCTACGTCGACGACCTGCTCACCGCCAGCAGCAGCACCACGATGCTGAAGGAGCTGAAGGAGCTGCTGGAGGCTGCCTTCGAGCTGCGTGAGATCTCGCCGGTGGTGAAGTACCTCGGTCTGGAGATCGTGCGCGACAGGCCGACAAGGAAGCTGTGGCTGCACCAGCAGGGCTACGCCGACAAGCTGCGCAGGCACCTCATCGACGAGGAGCAGGGCGGTCGAGTCCCGAAGACGCCG